TCTAAGTTTCAAGTGAAACAAGAAGACTATCTCAATTAGGCAAATCTTTTTAAGAAGAAATTGTTTTTATTTTTGGATTTTTTTGATGGACTTGAATTGTCCCTTCCAATCATTTTTCCTTTTTTACTTTTTAATTTAGCAATTTATTGATTTTTAGACAATCAATAGTGAAAAACTATTGATAATGATCCTGATAGATAGATGTTATTATCAATCTATCAAGGAAGTATAATATTGTTCCCAAAAGTTGACTTAAACTACTTATGTATAATGATAAGTTAGCCACTTTGTGAAAGTCTATAAATTATTATAGATTTATTTTAATTTCTCAACAAAGACAAGCCATCATGGCATGATTGCAGATTAAAAAAAAAAAATTTTTTTAAAAACTATTTATCAAATCTATTCATTAAAAATTCAATAACTGTTTATTAAAACTATTAATTAAAAGTCCACTAATTATTCATTAAAAACTTAGCAACTATTTATTTATTTATTTATTTATTTATTTTTTTTAACCCGTAATCGTGCCACAATAGTGTGTCTTTATTGAAAAATTGAAAATAAATTTATAATATTTTACAGACTTTCACAAAGTGACTAATTCGTCTTCATACAAAAGTACTCTAGGTCAGATTTTGGGGACAATATTTCACTTCCCTAATAGATTGATAATAACCTTTATCTATCAGAATCATTGCCAACAGTTGTCACTGTTGATTGCATGAAAATCAATGAATTGCTAAGTTAAAAGGGGAAAGGGGAAGAATGATTTGGAAAAGGGGACAATTCAAAACCCACCAAAAAAATCCAAAAATAAAAACAACCTCTTCTCAAAAGGGATCTGCCTGATTGAGATAGTCTTCTTGCTTCACTTGAACTTAGAAGAAATCTTCTTTTTCACCACCTGCGGTATCGAACAAGTCAATTCAACTGATCTTTCATTTAAATAAGCACCAGATTGGGATATCTCAAGAAAAGCATTTAGACCTCAGCTTTTTTTCATTAAAGCTTTATTACCACTTGAGGAACTTAAGTAAAAGACAGGAGTTTGCAATTCACATTACCCATCACTTGATCTTTTGGTGTCATGGAAGTTTTCATTGAGGGACTTGAGTTTTTTTGTGAGCAAACATTTCCAGAACCTTCTTTCCAATCACTAATGACATTATCGGAACATGTGAATATGACCAATAGGAGCTTGTTTACATTTTAAAAATAAACGTATTTCATGTCAGCCAATCATCTTTGGTGAGAATTTGTGTTATCAAAAATTCAGGGTCAAATTAAGGTAGGCAAAATTCTCCAGAAAACCATGAAAGCGATAGCTCTAAGAGGTCCACAAGTAACTAAAAAAGGAAAAATAAGTCCTTCTGTCATCAAAAACCTTTATATATCTCTTGCTTCAAAGGTTAAATAGGCCTTCAGGTACTTCACAATCAGTTATTCTTTCTTTGTAAACTTTTTTGCCATTGGTATCAAAGGTATGACTTGACTTTTTTTGGTCACTTGAAGTCAAGTTTTTGAGTGAAGAGGTTTATAAACAAGAGGAAAAGATAGAAGCGACTCTTGAAGTCATACTTCAAGTTGTTTTAATGAAAGTATTAAGACTTATTAGCAAAGAAGTATAAAAACTTCTTGCGAACATCTTTTTTATGTGTGGTCAAAGGATCAATGAAAAAAGATTAAATCAGTATTTATAAATATACAATATATAATATTATATATCAACACTCTTTCCCGTTTACCTGTGGCACAGCAACCTCAGGATACAAACGAGTAAAAGAGAATAACATGCAGAGGACAAGAAAACCGCAATATGAGAACAGCAGGCCGAACTACAACATAAACAAGCTTTCTAGGGGACAGGCCACCCCTATCATGAACAGCAATATACGAACTCAAGAAAAGAAGCAAACAACAGCAACAGCAACAACACGAAGTTCTGCACAAAATAAAATTTCATCTTCTTCCTCCGCAAACATCAGTTCTAACAGAACAACAACCAGCTCTACAAGCAGAAAATCTCCAACAGCCATGAACAATCCAAGTAACAGTAACAGCACACACTCCTGGAGTGAACAAGTAGAACACGAATAGCAACAGGTAGTATCTTCTCACGGGCAAGAGGTGACCAACACTCAGGTGAAGGAACCAAGACAAACAATAAATGAAGATTTTGATATGGATATGGACACAAGCGAAGAATACCCAGACTCTGAACAAGAGTGGCACACGGCAGATAGTAGTAAAAAGAAGGACAAACAGCCCATGACGTATAGTAATGGAACAAGACCACATCCAAGATCTTCTTTCGATTCTAATCTCAGATACGGAAGAAACAGAGTCAAACTTGGAATCAAAGCTTCCCTCATCCCAGGTGAAAAGAACCACGACAAGATAACATACCTGACTAAAGCTCTAAATTCACCGGAAGGACTTCTTCTCATTCAACATAAACACTACAACGAAGAAGATTATATCATCACCATCTTTAGTAACTAGCAGGCAGCAGACTATGCAAGCAACCTAATTTACCTAATACCGATAATCTTAGGCTGACACGTATAGAAAAAACTATTCACAGACTGAATAAGGAATACAGTATCAGAGTCTGGGACATTTCCCTGAATACCCGCCTCATAGACGTACAACAAACATTCACCAAATTTGGTCAGATCAACAATATCAAGATGACAACGAGACAAATGTGGCAGACTGCAACAATCACATTCACAAACAAGGAAGACAAGCTTAAGCTCTTGACCCAATGGTGCATCTTAATCAGAGCAGATTCAGTACGAATTTTCGATGCAGAATGGGACCTAGAACAAATGAAGAACCGGGGCCAATACTCACTCAAACTCACAAATCTCCCACCAAACACAAACGCATTCGACCTCAAAAGAATATGCCAAGAAATTGCGGCCAAAACATGCTACATCCCACGGCTCCTATCATACAGATGAAGAAAATATGCAGTGCTCAGTTTCGAAGATGACGACACTCTTCAACAAGCACTTACGAAAATCTTCATTCTAGGAGAAATGACAATTGAGTGCAAGCCAATCGACACCAAATTATGTACTATCTGCAACAGTGCACAACATTTAGTGGCAGGCTACAACATTAAAGAAAAAAGAGAACAATGGAACGAATTTAATCAAGAATAAGCAAACAAGTTTGGAAAGCTGTACCATTGTTTCAAATCAGCAAACTCTGCACCCATCTGAAAGCTTACTTACTCTTCAGGAAGAAGACCAACAAGATTTGTAGGATCCTATGCAGCAGCGGTAAAAAATCAACACTCGAACGAATATCCAGCCAATTCGCAAGACAACACTATACAAGACATTGCACGCATGCTCCTTGAAATCCAAGGAGAACTAAAATCGATCAAAGCAGCTATACACAATCTGGATGAAAGAATTGACAATCTGGAACAATATTGTTATGATAATGCAGAAAGTATGGAAGAAGATCAAACACAAGACATGGAAGAGAACAGACAGAGACCCTGTAAACAACCCTGCACTAAACGACATTCAGCAATAACAGCAACAACTTCACAATTCCATTGGTAACATGGACCGTACTATGAATGCACTAGTATCTACAATCGTGAACATCATCCCTGGCAGCACAACTCTACCTACAACAAATTCACAATAATGGGTAATTCGATTAGTGACAATTCTCCAGCTGACAATGTTCCAAGCAATCAACTCAACGCACAATACAACTTCAACCCTCAACTAAAAGAACACAATCCGACAGACACTAGTCAAACAACATCAGTCAACAATACTAAAAGAAAACACAATCGAAGTAGTAGTAACACAGAATACATCAATACAAGCATAATACATACCACAAAACACCCATATACAAAACAAAACATAGTTCAAACAAACGAGCACATCACTACACAAATGGATAGACCCTACTGGACAATAGCAACATGCAACATACAAGGTCTAAACTCAGAGCTCAAACTCGCATCATGGATGAAAACCTGGCACCTAAACGAATGGGACATAATCATTTCAACAGAAACTAAGGGAAAGAAAACAAAATCAAAATTCTGGAGGACAGAGGGATACATGTCATGGTGGCACAGCAACAACGATAACAGCTCCGGAGTAGGGATTTCCCTAAAACAACATCTAGCAAACAGAGTAATTCGCATTCAAAGACAAGAAGGCAGACTCATATGTGTCGACCTTGCCTTTCCTAACAAGAAATACTGCAGGATAATTGGTGTATATTCACCAGCCCAGGTAGGAACGGAGAGAAATCAAATACAAACACAAATCCTAAAATGGATCAAACAACATAACCATGACAATTGGCATATAATACTGGGAGGCGACTTCAACTCTTACCCCGATGGCTGCAAGGACAAGCTAGCAAGCAATAGAAAAATATCCAAAAACACAACCAATCCTTTCTTTGCACAACTTTAAGAAATGGATATGATTGATACATATTGAAACTGCAACCCACATTCTAAAGAGTTCACATGGTTCCAAAGCACAACCATTCTAGAACAAGCAAGTAGAATCGATATGATCTGGATAAGCTCCAGACTATCTTGGGGACTTGTGGACACATACATCAGAGAAAATACCGGCATAACAACAGATCACAGAATCCAAATAACACACATAGAAAGCTGGAACCTGCTAATATTCACAAAATGTTTCAGAAGACCTAACAAAAACACTCGGCTAGCATGGGATTCAGCTACAGAGGAACAATGGAAAAAATTTGCTAAAGAAATCAAATTCCATAGTGACATCCTAAAAGATCCCACGAACTTCAATAACATGGACGTCAACAAGTTCTGGCACAAACTACGTGACATAATTTTGAAAGCCACCAACAAACACATACCCAAATTCAAAGAGAAAATAAGAAAACACAGAAGAATGATAACAGCAACTCGACCCATACTGCTTCTACAACTTAGAGAATACAGAAGATAGATTATACAACTAATGACAAGCCCACAGGAAGCAGTTTACAACAAGATTCATACTCTTCATAAGGCAATAGAGGAAAAGGTAAAACTCTCATGTAACATTGCATCACACGGCCTAGAAGAAATTGTAAAGGAATTGGACAACATTATACAAATAGAAACAACCATTAAGAAGAAGATGTTAAAGGATAAAGTTACTGAAGACATCAACAAATGG